TCAATTTAATGAATCGTCATGGATTCTCGGATATATATATTTTTTTTTTGGTTTGTTCCTAATGTCGACGACATCCACAATCAACTTGGATAACAGGGGATCCAACGGTGTCGGGCACAGACTGGTCATCACAGTATGGTCTCAGCGAAAAAATGTATCCCGGTCGCTTGCTCAAACTGTCCACGCCCACTCTCTTTAAGGCGTCCAATCAAACGCGTTCTCCAGCTTTCACCAATCTCTTTTTAAAAAACAACAACAACAACTTCACAAACAAACAAACGAACGACTCACGATTTTATTTCTCAAGTCGTTTTCCTGTCACGATCGCCGGTGGACTAAAAAGTTCTACAATATTCTGATTCGTGTGTACTTTGAACATTTTTTTTTTACCTAATGAACACACCGACACAGGGTTTTTTAAGGGGTTCGTTTCTTTGCAGGAATGCTATTTTTTTTTTTTGGTTCGTTTCTTTGCAGGAATTCTATTTTTTTGGTTCGTTTCTTTGCAGGAATGCTATTTCTTTGGTTCGTTTCTTTGTAGAAATATTTTTTTTTTATCTTCGTTTTTTTGCAGGAATGCTATTTCTTTGGTTCGTTTCTTTGTAGAAATGAATTTTTTTTATGTTCGTTTCTTTGCAGGAATGCTATTTTTTATTTTTATGGGGTTTGTTTCTTTGCAGGAATGTTATTTTTTTTTTTTGGTTCGTTTCTTTGCAGGAATTCTATTTTTTTGGTTCGTTTCTTTGCAGGAATGCTATTTCTTTGGTTCGTTTCTTTGTAGAAATATTTTTTTTTTATCTTCGTTTCTTTGCAGGAATGCTATTTCTTTGGTTCGTTTCTTTGTAGAAATGAATTTTTTTTATGTTCGTTTCTTTGCAGGAATGCTATTTTTTTGGTTCGTTTCTTTGTAGAAATGATTTTTTTATATTCGTTTCTTTGCAGGAATGCTATTTTTTTGGTTCGTTTCTTTGTAGAAATGATTTTTTTATATTCGTTTCTTTGCAGTAATGCTATTTTTGGTTCGTTTCTTTGTAGAAATAATTTTTTTTTCATTTCTTTGCAGAAATGCTATTTTTTTGGTTCGTTTCTTTGCAGGAATGCTATTTCTTTGGTTCGTTTCTTTGTAGAAATGATTTTTTTATGTTCGTTTCTTTCCAGGAATGCTATTATTTTTTTTTTTGGTTCGTTTCTTTGCAGGAATGCTATTTCTTTGGTTCGTTTCTTTATAGAAATGATTTTTAATGTTCGTTTCTTTGCAGGAATGCCATATTTTTGGTTCGTTTCTTTGTTGAAATGATTTTTTATGTTCGTTTCTTTGCAGGAATGATGTCTTGTTTTGTTGGTTTCTTTGAAGAAATAATTTTTTAAATGTTCGCTTCCTTGCAGGAATAATTTTTTTGGGTTCGTTCCTTTGCAGGGCTTTTGTTGTTTTTTTTGGGGTCTCAATTCTGTCTTTACTCATATTACGTGTGCTACTATATATAATAATACAGTTTTAATAGATGTTACTATAAATATTTGATAGTGGGTTTTTTTTGTTGTATTTTTTGTTTGTTTTTCAACAAGCCGTTTTACTGTTAAACCGTATCGAATTATTGATTTCTTGTTAAGGTGGATCACGCTGGCTTGGCTGGCCTGGTTGGCTTGGCTGGCCTGGTTGGCTTGGCTGGCTTGGTTGGCTTGGTCGGCTTGGTTGGCCTGGTTGGCTTGGCTGGCCTGGTTGGCTTGGCTGGCTTGGTTGGCTTGGCTGGCCTGGTTGGCTTGGTTGGCTTGGCTGGGCTGGTTGGCTTGGCTGGCTTGGTTGGCTTGGTAGGCTTGGGTAGGGTGTATGTATGTGTGTTGGGGAGGTGGGTGAAATTAAAAATTAACAACCGTCCGGGGGGGGGGGCGGTGAGATTGAAAATTTAAAAAAAGTAAAATAGATGTCGTTTTTGAAAAAAAAAAGAAGTTTTTGGGCCAATGAGAGTTAAATAAATTGAAGTTGAAACCTTTGACGCCAGCAATCAATATCTATCTCTCTCTCTCTCTCTCTCTCTCTCTCTCTCTCTCT